TCCATCAGCAGCAAGCTAGAGGTGGATGTGTTGGGGGCGGGGGGAAGGGCGTGTGTGCGTTGAAAATGGACACTTGTGAGATACAGCAGGCGTCACCATGCGGCAGGAGGGCAGTACAAGAGGGGGGGAGTCGGCTGTCGAAGGACACGACGTCACACCCAGTGCACACACACACACACACACACACACACACACACACACACACACACACACACACACACACACACACAGAACGCGCACGTATGCATAGAACGCGCACGTATGCATAGACAGCGCACGTTACGCATACACACACACATTCACAGACAAGCACGCAGACACCACATGCGTATAAACGCACGCACGCAGAGACGCACGCACGCACCTGAACCAGAAGGAGCCAAAGGAGACGTCGTCAAAGGGGAGGAGATCCCAGGTGACACCGAGGAGGCAGATGCAGAGGTAGCCAACATGATACACAAAGCCCCGATCGGAGTACATCTTCTTCGTGGACACTTGGTGCGTCTCGTCGTTGTCGTCCTCGTCGTCTTCGTCCGTGCTGCCTGCTTCCGTGTACCGGCTCATGTTGTTGCCGAGGTAGCTCACCAGCATCACGCCAGAGTTGATCAGCTGACGCCCAGGACCAAGCAGGGTGATGGAAGCGCGGTGAGTGGAGGAACATCGAAACGGGCAGACGGCACCTCAGGCGTGGGCGACACAGCAGAAACAAGCACAATTCACCAACAATGAAACTCTTTCACCACAAACAAAAACACACACATAAACACACACACACAAACACAAAGCATGCTGCAACACGATCTGACGTCATTACTGTGGCTGTCATGAATACCTGAGCGAGGCCAAGCAAGTAAAGACACGGTTCGATGATGTTGGATATGACGAGACTCAGCGTAAGGCAGACGAGCGATGCTTGCACGGTTTCCACACGCATCTCCGCCAGGGGGAAGCGCGCATCTGTTGGGGAGGAGACAGACGTGTGAGAAGCACTCGGCTGTGGTCGGCAAACCGAAAGGGGTGTAACATACACAGAACCACCACGCAAGCCACGCCACACAGCCTGCAAAGCACGCACATATACACAACAAACACACACACTCAACGCAAACCACGCCGCACATACCGAGTGCTGCAACCCATTTGTTTGTGGGGTTGATGCGATGCCCGCCATTCCAAATCTTGAAGCTGAGTACGGAGACGGAGATGGAGGCGATGGTGGCAAGGTAGACGACAGCCAGCGTGAGCCACGTCGGAGAGAAGTGCGCCTTCTCAAACGGGAAGCACGTGCCAACCAGCACGTTGATGAGCAAGCCAAAGGTGAAGGACAGCGTCTTCCACACGGTGTAGTTGACGGTGGCCGTGTACAGGCCCGGTCGCGACTTGAGCTTTTTCTGCCACTTCATCTCCTCATACAAGCTGTTGACCTGTAATGTGTGAGTGCGGACACAGAGGGAGGAGGGGCGAGTGAGGCGAGGTTGAAAGCTCGAACCCACACGCACGCACAGAGAGAGAGAGACACACACACACACACACACACACACACACACACACCGACGCACACAGCGACGCACACAGAACAACACACACAGCTACACACACAGAACAACACACTGCTACACACCAACCGAACCAAAGCAAGTCTGAACGGACCTTGATGAAGAACTCCGGAACCTTTGATCCCTGCTCGTTGACGTCCGTCTCCAGGTACACGGCCTCCTTGCTGTTCTCGCTCAGGTAGTGGCAGATGCCCGGAATGGGGAAGAAGATCTTCTCCAAGTGGTCGTTGCGAAAAATCTCAATTGAATCTGTGTATGTCGCGTAGTAGGTGATGGCCTCCTTCACTTTCTCCCGGTAGTCTGCGTGGCCGTGCATCCCAAACGGGTGCTCAGAGTCCTCCATCTTCAGGAAGTGCGCCAGCTCCTTGTTGCGATCGGCCAAGGTGACGGCAAGCACGTAGATGCTGTGACCAACATCGCGGCGACAGTGCGGACACGCGCACGGCGCAACGCACGTGATGTCGCGCTCGCCCGTGTCCGTCGTGTCATCGAGGGCCGAGTAGAGCGAGTAGATGGTGTTGAGCAGTTGCTGCTTGTCCAGGTTGAAGAGGATGCGCCGCGAGAGGGATTCCTCCTGCCTGCTCTCCATAACCGACAGCAGCAGCGCAGACGCCTGCTTCTTCAGCTCAAGCAGCTGCTCCGGGCGAACCTTCATGCGGCGGCGGCTGCTGTTGCTGTTCGTGTTGCTCAGCTCGGGGAAGTCACTGCAGTGGTTGTGCGGTGGTGGTGTGAGTGGTGGTGGTGGTGATCATGAGAAGCAAGAGAGGGGGGGGGGGACCGGTGCCAGAAAACGGCTTGAAACAGCAGGAACGTAAGTTGGTAAACACACACACACACATGCATACACACAACCAAGAACAGGCAGAGGCGCATGCATGCACGCACTGGAGAAGGAGTTCCTTGACGACAATGTCGAGCCCGTTGCTTTCGTGGGAGGCGACCGTGTTCTGGTTCTCAATGCACGGGCCCTGGCAATACTCTGTCAACGTGTTCAGTGTCTGTGTGTGCAAGAAAGACCGTGAGGCGGCAACGCATGAAACGGAATGAGGTCGGCCCACAGCAAACACGTGCACGCACACATACACACACGCACACGCACACGCACGAAATTACGCACACTTGTGCACACACACACACACGCACACACACACACACACACACACACACACACACACGCACACACACACACAAAGTCTCCTGCTTTCCAACACCACGCACACTCGGCAGCAAGAGTGCACGTGCAACAGCGACCGCACCTGGATGACGTTGCCGACGTTCTGGTCGTTGATGAGGAGCGCAATGCCGTAGTCGAGATACTTGATCGTCTCCAGGATGAGGTTGTACGAGATCTTGTTGTTGGTCTGGAAGCGAAGGTAGTTCTGCAACTTGCTGTTGTGGTTCTCGCAAAGCAGCTGCAGCAGGCGAAGAATGGCCACCATGTTTGCGTACTCGTCGTTTGCCTTCTCCTTCTTCACGTCCTCCTCCTGCTTCAGGTCGAGCTTGGAGCGAGACATCTTCTCCTGGATCTTGCGGAAGAACGGCGTGCTGTCTGTGCTCTTGAAGAACTTGTAGAACGACTCCTGCGTCTGCGCATTTCCGCCCTCAAGCAGCGCAATGCCAAGACGCAGCGCCTAGTGGGGTGTGGTGTCGTGTGATGTTGCGGGCATATGTGTTACATGTTGCATTTTGCCTTTCAACAACAGTGGACAAGACCACGGGATGAATGTTGCAGCGTGCAACACATCACGGATGCATGCACGCTCACACACACAAACAAAAACACACACAAGCGCCCAAACAAACATACACACACAAAATAAACAAACAAACAAACAAACAAACAAACAAAGAAACAAAGAAACAAACATAAACACACCTCGTAGAAGGTTCCCGAATCGTCCGAGGCCATGATCAGCTCGGCAACGAGCAGCGACGCGCCATTCTTGTCAAGCAGGTTTTGCTGTCCCGGGTCAATCTCGAGCGTGTCGGTGGGGCGGAGATGGAACGCGGCATCAGCCAACACATCCTCGTCAAAGAAGAGCGAAAGCAACGCAATGCGCAGGTTGCGATCGTCACCAGTGAACAGCTCCGGCACCATCATCCGGCGAAGAATCTTCAACACCTCCAGCCGCAACTCGCGGTCAATCGTCTCGGGCTCCTCGCTCTCCAGCCGCCTGATGTGCTGGATGAGTTGGCGCAGGAAGCGGTCTTGCGAGATGCCCATGTTCATGTCTCGCAGGCGGTGCGGGTGGTGCAGGATGTCAACAAGAATCGACACCTCCACGCGGCTGGCTGAGGAGAGCGAGCGCGCCAGGTAGGCAACAAGCTTCTCAAGATGGTCCACAATGGCCTTGGCCATGCCGTGCGTGCTGTCCTCCTGGCTGTCGCTTGTTGCGTTGACGGCTTCGTGTTCCGGCAGCGTCTCCATGTGCTCAATGCGGCGGCGGGCGCGCTGCACCCACCGGCTGATGCTCTGCGCAGGCCCGCGCTTGCACGACTCCATCACCTGCACATTGATGGTGCAAGTGGGGTAGCGGGGGTTGCGGGGGAGGCAGCGGAAGTGAGGAGGGGTGGTGGAGAAGAAAGTGGGCGGAGAGTGGTGGTGTGTGAGATGGGTGGAACACGATGGCGTGTGTTCGAAAGAGTGGAAAACATGAGGTCTGAACGCACAAATAGGCACAGCACTTGTGGAAGACCAAAACCTGTGCACCAGAAGAAGAAGCAACAGCAGCAGACGGAACTCACACGTGCACGCAATCAGCCTTCCGACGCACTCACACGCACGCATACGAACATCATTCTCACATACGCACACACACACGCACACACAAACTCAAGTACACAAACACATCAACTCACGTCCTTGATCTGGGCCTCGAGAATGTCTCCCAGCGCAACACCGCGGTCGTGGGCGTAACTGACGAGGGCAGCGAGCGTAGTGATGACGCTGACATTCATCAGGCGCGCCTGGGCCGTTGTTGCCGCCAGGTTGCAAAAGGCGGTGACGAGGCGAACAAAGGTCGTCTTGCGCTCGGCCGTGGTGGGGATGTAGTCCGTGTCGGAGAGAATGCGGAAGTACATGCGCACGGCGTTGGTGAGCGTCTCCATGATGTAGTCGTTGAAGGCCTTCATGCTCAGGTCGTAGTCCGGGGAGCAGAAGTTCTCCACGTCCTCCGCAAATGCATTCAGCAGCCGCCACATGTCCGCGCTGGTTCAATGCAGACGGAGTGGCCATTATGGAAAGTTGGCACGGGGCGTGTGTGTGTGTGTGTGTGTGTGTGTGTGTGTGTGTGTGTGTGTGTGTGTGTGTGTGTGTGTGTGTGTGTGTGGGTGGGTGCGAAGCAACACGAACCATTTGACTCACTTCACGGACGACAACTGGCATTACAATCACAAAGGCATGCAGCACATGCAACACACACCTGAAGTGAAGCTCCTTGACCTCGGCTTCCGTTTCAAGGTAGCAGTGAATGAGGAACTGCGTGTACGAGTTCTTCACCTGCGGCGGTGTGTCTGGATGCACAACGACCTGCGGAGGGAATGAGCCGTTGAAGTGACGAGCGTGCCAGCGATTATCATGATGAGAGAACGACTTGCATGTGCGCATGCCTGAGGAAGCAAAAGAGGTGGCGGAGGGCGATTCCACGCCACCCTACAACGAATACACTCACATGCATATGCGTACGCATGCACACACCTTGACGACATCATCGATGGGGAGCAGGCTCTGCGACTTGATCTCCGTGTGCATGTTGAGGCCCTCCGTGCAGAATCCCAGCAGCTCAATGAGCTCGAGATGGTACACAAGCTCGTCGTCCGGTGCCGCGTCGCGGTTGTCAAGGAGGTCATCGCTGGCGTTGGCCATCAGGTCCAGCAGCCGCAGGAAGGACGTTGCCTCGTTGTAGAACTGCAGCACGTCCTCCGAGATGGCTGACAACGAGTCCATGATCATGTTCTGGATGTGGGGCATGAGCTGGCCCTCGGGCTTCACAAGCACCTTGAGGAAGCGGATGTGGTTGATGTTGCGCTGGTGGCTGCCAATGGTGGTGATGAACGACTGGATGATCGCCTTGTTCACGTTCCGGCACAGATCCGTGTTGTCCTTGAAGATGGCAATCAGCGACTCCACAGCGTGCGGCACCCCATCTCGGATCTGTACACGTGGAGCGTGTAGGCGCAACAGTGCGTGGGTGTGGATGATTGTGCAAATGTCAGTGCAAAATGTATGTGAATGTGTGTACGCGTGTGCGACGTGGTGGGAGTGGGGTGGATGAAACGCGGTAGCTCGCACAGCCACACGCACACACACAGCCACACGCACACACACACACACACACACACACACACACACACACACACACACACACACACACACACAAACATGAGTGTCAACACATGCATCGATGCATGCACACGTCGATACCCACCTGATCGACGAAGAACGGTACATGCTTGTTGAGCACGCTTTGGTTTTCCTTGTTGTCTTCGCAGAACTTCTGCAGGAAAAAGTAGGCTGCCTCGTGCACCTGCGCCACCTCCGGGTGCTCGCGATCGCACTGCATACGCAGCAGCGCCAGCACTTCGCCGTGCGCATCAAGGTTGCGCAGCAGCCGCTGGTGGTGGGTTCGCACCTCCCGGTTCTCGTGCAGACACAGCGTCGTCACGTGGTTCAGCACCCTGTTGCATGCACGCACGTGTGCGCACGTGTGCCGAGGGAGGTGCGTGAGACATTGGGAAGGGAGGTGTGCAGCAAAATGCAACAGGCTTACAAAGGAGCAGAGAAGTACACCAATGCTAAAACAGAGCTGTCACGCTCATGACGTTCAAGCATGCACAATCACACAAACCCTAAGGCACTCATGCGAAGAAAGTTCACGCGTGCACGGACAATACACGCACGCACATCCACACACGCCCTCTTCTGCGTGTTGTGGGCCTCACCGCTTGATCTGTGCAAAGTTTTGCATTGCGGTGTTGACGGCGGTGGTGTGCTCATCGCCAATCTGGTACACCCACAGCTCACTCTTCTCCACCATGACGCGCAGCTTGTCCAGGAACTGGCGCGTCGCCTTGTAGATGTCAACGTCCTTCTCGGAGACAAGCAGCTGCACCTGCTGGAAGGCAGTCGTGATCTCGCTACGCTGGCTGAAATTGCGGAACAGCAGCCGCAGCGCACCAGACACAACATCCTGTGTTGGGTGTGTTGGGTGTGATGGGTCGTGATGAGTGGTGGTGATAGATGGTAGTGTCAAAGGGATGGTGATCAAGGTGAGGTAGGTAAACGCATGAGGGTGGTGTCGTGCCAGGTAATGTATCAAAAGTATAAAGACAAGAAGGACGTGCAATACAGCACATGAGCACAACATTGTCCGCCGGACAAGGCTGGCAAACACGCCACAAAACGGCGTACGTTGTTGTCACAGGTGACGAGATTGAGCAGGACGCGGAGGAAAGTGCGGGTGGTGACTTCGTCCAGATCCCCTTCAATGTGGAACGCCGTCTGCTCAGAACCCGGCATCGCACCAAGCGTTGCCAACTCCACCTCCTTCTCGCCCTCATCATCCGACGACGGGGCGCTCGAGTGCGTGCTCGCCCCGCCAGAGCTGAAGATCTTCGTGGCGCGCCGCAGGAACAGCTTTGCCTCCGCATCTCGCGACCTGGAATGGTGTGTGTGTGTGTGCGTGTGTGTGTATGTATATATGTGTGTGTGTGTGTGGTGCGTGTGTGTGTGTGTATGCATATGTGTGCGCGCGTGTGTGTGTGTATGCATATGTGTGCGCGCGCGTGTGTGTGTGTGTGTGCGCATGAGGCAATGCGTGAGTTAGTGCTAACGTGACCCAACCACGCGACAACACATCCAAACAAGTCCATACACAACGCACGCGAGACAAGTCGAGGCTCCTCTCCCTTCCCACAACAACTCCCACTGACAGCAACGTACAGAGAGAAGGACGATGCGCGGGCACGCCTGCGTGACTTGGGCGACTTGGTGAGCTTGGCACGACTCATGGCGATGGTGTGCTTGAAGATGACCAGCAGGCGCGAGAGGCGATAGTCCAGCCGCACGTCCATGTAGAAGTTGAGGATCTGCAGCATCTGCTGCATCGTGTCCAGCACAATCTTCTGGTCAGACTCCGGCATATCGGCCATGGAATCGCGAAAGTCGGCCGTGCTCGCGTCCAGAATGTCCAACCTGTGGAACAACGTTGACGCGACGTGTTGTTAGCCATGGTGGTGATGATCGAGGGTGAGGGAGGGTGGAGAGGACGGATGGCGAAACGACGTCATGTGTGTGAACAGTGTAACAAAGTTGTGTGAGCTGCGGTCATGACCGGGTGTGGACACAGGCGATATCTGCCAAGTCGCTCCCAATCATCTTGGCCGTTGCAGGTGCACTGAGCACAATGTCGCACATCACCACCTGAACACAACTAAACGTGAACACAAAGTGGAAAAACGAGGCAGCGCAGTCGCGTGTACGCACAGGCAGTGGACGAGGCTGAGGAGCTGCTTGAAGTCGTAGAAGCCAAAGTAGATCATGTACCGCGCCAAGGTGATCACCTCCAGCGTCAACTTGTTGCGGTCGTGGTCAGAGAAGGCGGCGTTCTTGTCCTGTCACATGTCGTCAAGTGGTCATGCCGTGATACGTGTGGTTGGGAGGACGGGGTGAACGGGGTTTCAAGCGCAACAGAGGAAGGAGTACTGGTGCTGATGTTATGTGCTCAAGTCTGCTAGATCGCACTGGTTCACACACGTACGAGTGTGTGTGTGTGCGTGTGTGTGTGTGTGTGTGTGCACGCAAACACGGTCATACATTCCGAAAACAGACACACACGCACACACATTCACACATACACAATCACGCACCCTGTTGAGTGTTTCGAGATACTCTGTGACAAACTGCATGGTGCTTCTGAACTGGAGGCTGTTGGCCTCGTGCACATCGGAGCGGTACGAGTATGAGTTGACGCTGAGTGACGTTGGGATGTCCTTCCACAGGCGGGCGTAGTTGATGGGCGTGACGTTCTCCTGCGGCTCTGCGTCCACGTGAAGATGCAGCATGAGGCGGCAGAAGGAAGCGCGGAGGCCATCAGGCAGCTTCACGTCGCTCATGCACGACAGAATCAGCTCAATCGGCAGCTTGTGGCGCCTGCAGGTTTTCACGCATGGTGTGGTGGGGATGATGGTGGATGGTGGTTGTGGATGGTGTGGGTGGTGGTTGATGAGTTGAAGTTGTGGCGAGCGTTGATGGGCTGTCCAGGAGATGGTGAAAGGGGCGAAGTTGTGGCAAAGCATACGCACGCAAAGCACGTTCCCGCATACACACACACACACACACACACACACACAGCAGGCCCACGAACGCATATCGACGCACATTTTGTTGATGCCCATGTACTGCCGGTCCATGCACATCTGTGCAAAGAGATCGAGCTGTGCGCGGTACATCTCCAGCAGGCGCTTGTGGCGGTCGTCTGGCGGGTTGGCCAGGTCCACAAGCAGCGTGTGCTCAGACTTGCCCTTCTCGATCCAGTCGACCGTGATCACGCCGTACTGCACATCAAACAGGAGCGATTGAAGAAGGATGTACGTGGTTGATCGATGCGGGTGGGGTGGAAGCGCAGGTGAGGCAGAACATGCAAAGAAAGTACCATGTCACTCACAAAACATGACCCACAAAAGGCACACACGCACAACCACACAAACACACAGCCATACACTCCAACACACAACGCACACAACGCAGACACAACACACACCCGCACATCCCACACTCCTTCCCAAACGCATGCGGGGCAGTGTGGCCATAGGTTTCACCTTGAACTGCGTGTAGAAGAAGAGGTCGGCGTTGCGGGGCGTGTCGAGCACAGCGCTGCAAATCAGCTCCTGCGTGCCCGGGATGGCGGTGCCGTTGGATGTGCACAGGTCGGACAGGCACTCGATAAACCGCGGGTCCTGTCGCGAGTTGGTGGTGGTGGTGGTGGGTATGTGTGTGTGTGTGTGTGTGTGTGTGTGTGTGTGTGTGTGTGTGTGTGTGTGTGTGTGTGTGTGTGTGCGTGCGTGTGTGTGTGTGTGTGTGGGGGGGGGTTGGTGAGATGGGCGGTTCCGGTACTTGCAGTGCGGCAAGTGTGTGTGGAGGCGTGTTTGGTATTTGTGTACGCGTGCGATTGATGGCAGACACCCACTCGCAAGCACAAGCACAAAAGGATGACATCTAAATGGCATTTGCCAAACAGACAAAAAAAATCGTCACACACGCATTCACACACACATCCGACAGCCCTCACAAGCGAGCGCGCGTACCTGCTTGACGCGGACGAGGTGGAGAAAATTGTCAATCTCCTTTGCTGTGATGTGCTTCTCCATGAGTTTGCGGTTGTTGTTGAGGAGATGCGTGATGGTGTCCTCGGCCAGCAGGTCGTACCCAATTTGACGCTGCATGAAGCCAAAGTTCTTCGCAATCACCTCCTGTGTCATGCAACATGCACGACAGATGTGTGTGAATGTATTGAATTCGGCGGAGTGTGAGAATATGCATTCAATGAACCCAATCAAATTTGAGGGAGAAAACATCACCATCAACGACACACCACACACACACACACATACACGCGCACGCACGTACACACACAAACACACGCACACACAAACACACGCACGCACACACGCACGCACACACACACACGTAAGACATTCCCCAAATCACAAGGAACGAGTATCACAAGGAAGGTGTGTGGCCTGTGTGTCGAATCACACACTGTACACTGTATGCACCTGGTTCTTGCGGTAGTCGGTGGCGAGGAGCTTGATGAGCGTGTAGCAGAGGCGGCAGATGTCGCGGATCCACTTGTACTTCCCTTCCACAAGCTTGTCCATGTCGTTGATGAGCACACCGACACAACCGGGGCACGCCTTGGGCGTGAATGGCGTCTGTCGTAATGTGCAAAACAAGTGAAGCGTGACAACAGAGGGGTTGGTGAGGGCGGGTTGAAGATGCAAGCAAATTGGCAGTCAGGGATCACGTGCAAGCACGAAGGATGAGAGGAAACCATGACTGCCGACCAAAGGAAAAGGCATCACGCAAAATGCAAGTGCGCTCGCTTCTGCAGAGCGCGCACATGCACATGTGGAAGACAAAGTAAAGCCAAAGCAAGCGCGTCACCTTGAGGGTGTAGAAGAGCTCTTTGAGAATGTCCTGCTCACGCATGAGTTTCTGGCGGTCCTTGTTTGGTTTTCCGGACAGCGCAAACGGATCCGCGTGCTCGGAGGGCTGCAGACACGAGGTAGTATGGTGGCGTGGGGGATCCCGGTTGGGAAATGAGAAAATTGGGAGAGGGAGACAGGGATACAGGTAGGCATGGAGGGAATGAGGAAGACGAGCACACACACACACACACACACACACATGCATACTCACACAAGCCGCACACACACACAACACACACATGCGCACCAAACACACAACACACGCCCACCTCTTGGCCGACGAGGAAGAAGATGAGGTCCTTGAGGATCTTGGTCTCGAGCTTCTTCTCAATGCTGCTGATGGTGCCGTCCTTGATGCGCCGCGCGTGGTAGGACAGCACGCGCTGCGTGTCGGAACAAAAGTCCAGGTCGCGAATCTCCAAATCGTTGACGGGGATGATGGCAAACGCCTCCCGGTCATCTCGCTCCGCTGCCGTGCCGACCTGCAGGCAAACAGAGGGCAGGGGATGGAGAGAGGTATCGGAGAGAGGGGGACACACACGCACAACACACACACGGACACACACGCACAACACACACGCACAACACACACGCACAGACGCGCACAGGTGACGGTGTGTTCACTTGAGAAGGGAAAAGGCGACAATGAAGACAAGCGCACAAACACACAACAAAGACCACCATCACCACATCAGCCCATTGACGCACAGAGCAAAGTGTGACCGAACAACACACAACTTCAAAACACAGTGTGACCGTACCTTGAGCATGGTTGGCTTTGAGTTTGTCTCGCCATCTATCATGGCATCGATGAAGGTTGCGGTGGCGTGCACCCACGTGCCAGTCTGCAGATGCTTCAGTCGCATAAACGCATCGCGCGTCACCCGCTCGTCGGGGAGGGTTGGCTGTGTCGAGTCAAGCTCAAAGACAGTGGAGTAGTCGTGGCGCTTGGGCGTCGTCACCAGCTTGAACACCTGCCCACGTTTGCTGTGAAGTGGGGATTGACGCATGGAGTGTGAGGGACATGAGAGAGCAAGAGAGGGAAGAGAGGGAAGCGAGGGGAGAGGAAGCGAAAGGAGGTGAGAGGAAAATGGGGGGGGGGAGGAAGGGAGAGCGTCGACGTGAAAATCTGTGAGGCAGCAACAATCCGTGGCAGAGGTGGAATCACAGAACCCAACCCCACTCAACGAAACAAACCAACAACAAATCAACAACGGCGTTCGCAATATCCACAAGAGTGCATGCACGTGTGGTGGGACACATTCTGTCCACACCCCTCTGTGTCCCGTACCCCTTAAGGCGAACGCGGTTTGGGTCATCGAGATCCTCTGTGTCAATCACAACGGCGAGGTACTGCTCCGTGGACAAGTGCTTGAATCTGCAAGTTGACAAGGAGGGGGGAGGGGGCAAGTTGTGCATGTGTGTGTGAGTGTGTGTGTGTGTGCGTGTGTGTGAGTGCGTGCATGCGTGCGTGCGTGTGTGTGCGTGCGTGCGTGCGTGCGTGCGTGCGTGCGTGCGTGCGTGCGTGCGTGTGTGTGTGTGTGTGTGTGTGTGTGTGTGTGTGTGTGTGTGTGTGTGTGTGTGTGTGTGTTGAGCGTGGAGTTCATGGGGATGAGCGAAAGTGAGCAAGGTCATGTAAAGTACGAATGGTGGTGGCACGAACAGGAGTGGAACAAGTTGTAAATATGCGCATCTCCACGTGAAAGGCAAGCCAAGCGCTGACGCACGAGTGATTGCATGCACAGATCTGATCCCGATGTGCAAACTTGCCTGTAGAAGGAGTCCCATCTCGCGTAGCCACCGTAGGTGAGCATGTCACTGACAACCTCAACCTCCCACAGCGCTTTGGACGAAGCTGCGGCAGTTTGCTGCGTGATCCGTGAATGAACACAGCAACGCGCAAAACAGGGACGGTGCAAAAGGTTGTAGGGAGACAAGTGAGCGACACAGCCGGGTCTACAGGATGGTAGCAATTGCACCCGCAACAGCAGCAATAGTAGCCGTAGCAGCAACAACAGTATGGAACAGCGGTAGTCACAGCGGTAGCAACAGCGGCAACAGCAATAGTAACGCCAGTTTCAGCAACAACAGCAGGAGAAACAACTACAGCAGCAGTTGCAGTAGCAGTGGCAAAACAAAGACTGTGGCAAATGACAGTAACAACAGGAGGAGGAGCAGTAGCAGCAGAATCGTGACAGTGGAAGCGGAGCTGTCGTGGCGTTCGCAAACGAATGTGCAAACTCCATTGAAACCAAAAAATAAAAGCAAGGGGCAAGCACCTTGTTCTACCTTACCACCTTGTGATTTCGGGTTGTGTTGCGCAGAAAGACGTGAATACTGGCACGCGAGCTGGTGCTCTTCTCCTCCAGAGTGGAGTAGTGGTCCGCAGTGAGGTACTTGGACTCCTCCACGTGGAACATGCGGACCACATCGCCACCCTTGAGGTGATCCGACGCGTCCTCTTCGTACTCGTTGTAGAGGAGAATCTTCCAGCTGTCGCTGCATTGCGTCACGTTTACCTCCATGCAACCTATCATGAAGTCGTGGGGGTTTGGTGGGCGAGGCGGGTTAACAGCGAGTGAGGTAAGCAGTGCATGCCACAAGGAGACGTGAATGTGCAAGTGGTGGGTTGGAATATAAGGGCTGTGTATGTTAGCACAAAGGGTCGACACGTAGAAAGACGATGAAAGCAGAGGGAGGGGGTGTTCGTGGCGAAAACAACATCCTTGTGCAGCCTTGTTTGTGCAGACGACATCCGCGTTTACACGCACACGCACGCACAAAGGCGCAGCCACATGCCACGCGCACATGCACGACCACACAAACACATGCACGACCATGCACACACGCACACGCACACACGCACACACACACACACATGCACGCATGCACCTGGGTTGTCGGCCAGGCGCATCTCGCTTGCATGGAGGAGCTGGCCTGCGTTGACGGACTTGAGATACACCTTATCACCAACGAACACAGAGTCGTTGATGGTGCGGTGCTTGTAGAAGGGGTGCACGTAGAACCACGAGCCCTCGTTGCCCGTGAGCTCGAGGCTCACGCGCATGGCGTTCTTCTCCATGATCCCTGTCATCCGCTTGTTGACGGTCAGGTACTTGTTGCTCTTCAGGTGCAGCAGCTGGATCACGTTGCCATACTGCACGGGGGTCTTGAGCAGCTTGTTGCACTCCTGCTTGTTCTGCTCGCGCTCCAGCTCGGCCGCTTGCTGCAGCTGCTTGAGATACACAATGTCGGCGACGTTGGACGCGGGCCCTTTGCTCTTCGCGTCCTGCACCTGCTTGGCTTTGGCCTTGTCATACTGGCTCTGTGCCATGTACCGGTTCATCGGCACAACCTGAAACAGGCAATCTGCACAGCGCACACAGCACACGCGAGTGAGGAAGCACACATTCATGAGAAAGAAAGGCCCAGTGTTGATGCGAGACATTGTTGCTGCAACCGCGTTGCACGTTGCGCTCAAGAAACAGGAATGGGAGATCCGTTCAAACATCCACAAGATGAACATACCTCTGAACTTCTTGGGCACCTTGATGGTGCGGCCGATGGCCTGTGGCCGCACAACAACACGGTTGTCAATGTTGCTGGACAGCGAGCAAGGGTGGACAGGGTATGTGTGAGTCGCGTGCTTTAGGTCGGAAGAAGATGTGGCAATGTCTTGTCAGAGGGTGTCTCCGCGGCCGTGTTCTCAAACGCCACTGGCGAATAATAACGCAAGCGATTTCGCAGCTGCAACGGCGAAAGATTCGCCGACACACGCGCACACACGGACACACAAACGCACGGACAATGCGCGCACATGCGAACGCAGGAGCCATGAAGACACGGACAACCACGAACACATGCTCGCTTACCCGAGGGTGCTGAGGAAGCCATTGTAGTCTGGGCCATCCGTGAGGAAAAGCGACACAATGTCGCCATAATTGAGCGGCCCGGACCGCTTTCCGTCCATGCTCGCTGGACGCTTTGCTGCGGTCTTGCGTTGCAGACACTCGCCACAACAAAGAGAGACAACAGCTCAGACAAAGAAGCCGGCAAAGAAGCAAATCGTTGACTCCCAACCGATTCCGCGGATTGACGGTAGCTTGGTGGTTGGATGGTGGGCGAGCAGGCCCGTGATCAAGCCACAGAGAAAACTGTTGCACTGCACTGCACAACGGTGAATGGTTTGTCAACGTGAGCGTGAACTGGATGGGTGCGCGTGCGTGTGCGTGCGTGTGCGTGTGTGTCAGGAAAGCGTGTGCGTGAGAGTGAGAGTGAGAACAACGTCACAACGAGGGGACGGGAAAAGGTGTTAAGCGCAAGCAAGCTCGATTGTGTGTGTGTGTGTGTGTGTGTGCATCTTCGCATGTGGCACAGTCGCTGGTTGGCGATGGTCACCAACCAACCACACCAACCACAAAACCAACCAGCACACCAACCACAAAACCAACCAACGTCCAAAGTTTCCGTTGCACGCCGCAATATCCGGTGAAAATATGGCAAATTGTCCTTGATGGCGTCACACACAGATCGCCCAATCCGCCGCCAAAACCTTCAAATGCACAACGACGACAAGCACTGCACACCAACAACACCAGAACATCCGCCTTCTCCACGCTCAACACCGCCGCGGCAGCCCTGGACAGCGGCTTTGGCATCATCGACAACAGCAGCAATGGCACCAAGAAGGACACGTCGATGACTCCCTTGTCCCCGCCATCATCCTCATCATCATGGTCGGCATCATCCCACGCATCCAAGTCCTCCAACGGCATTGCTGCTTCCCACCAGCAGCACCAGCAGCACCAGCAGCAGCAGCACCAAGTCCACCAGCAGGCAGCACCATTCTTCGACTTTGACACTGCGCTGGCAAAGCCCCGCCTTTGCTTCGAAAGCACAAGCGACAACATCTTCCACTTTGATGATGATGATGTCTTCCCCACAACAACAGCGACAACAGCGACGACAGATGGCGGTGCCATCAACGTCGGCGGCGCCAACGCCTCGCAGAGCCAGGGCAATGACGGTGCCTTCCTGCCTGCGTTCACATTGAATAGCGACGTCCCGGTCGAGCAGCTGCTGAGCCATGCAGACATGAACATGCTTGACGCAGCCCTGGAGTCCTTCCTCTCCTCCTCCTCCTCCTCCTCCACCACCTCCTTGTCGTCTATGGAAGAGCGACAGGCGTCTGTGGCATCGTCGGCATCAGCACTGTCCGCTGCGTCGTTCTCATCCAACAGCAGCGACGCTGAAGATCCCATCCCTCTGCAGCCCACATCGCACACAGCCACAACCTCTTCCTTCTCCTCCTGCCCCTTATCCTTGCCGTCATCACAAGCGCAACATCGCACGTTCATGCAGGCACAACGCAACAGCAGCACCAACAGCAGCACCAACAGCAGCACCAACAGCAGCACCAACAGCAGCACCAACAGCAGCACCAACAGCAGCACCAGCAGCAGCACCAACAGCAGCACCAACAGCAGCGTGCGCGCCAAGGGCACAGCAAGCACGACGATGCGCGGGCGCAGTGCCATCAACAAGCGGTGTGTGCTTGAGAACGGTGAGATTGATCACGAGAAGCTTGAGCGCACGCGAGAGATTGCACGCCGCAGCTACTGGCGCCGCCGCAACCAAGAGCTCACCAGCCGCCACAGCGTGGATCAGCGCCTGACGCTGCTGAACAAGACCAAGGACCTGCTCGTGCAGAAGCGGCAGCGGCTGTTGAAGGAGCGGCAAGCACTGCTGGACCACGTGCGACAAGAGTCCCACGTCTTCTTCCCGGTCGGCACCATCGACCAGCACCCGTTGCCACTGTTTTGAGCTGCCTTATCAAGTGGAGGGGGACATTACCTTCTCATTCTCGTTACATTTTACTCGATGCGCCGACACTCGTTATTGTGTGCGCATCAACACGCTTCCTGCGCCTGCTTGAATGATTTAACTTCTATCTTCCCTGACCATCATCATGGTGTTCTGTGGTTTCTGTACATTGTCACTTGTTGCTTGCTTCTCTCGTGTGTTACGATGGTGTGGAGCGGGTCTTGCCTTTGGTGAACGGACGTTGCTTGCATGCAAGCTTGGGACGTGTTTGTTTGTGCGCTTGTCGGACCCTGTGCTGCCTGAGAACCCGTTCACTCCTCTCCATTCCCCTTGGTTCCGTGACACAGTGGCACGCGCTTCTTGCCTCTTTATTCATTCATTCCTCATTCTGTTGGCCACTCGATGTGGCGCATTGTCACACGAATAATACACACAAACATACAACAGTTGACAAGCAGGAAAGGCAATGTGCCGGCATTCATACAAGCAAGGTGCGTGAAAAGAAGGGGCAGGGGAAGGGACGCAAGAGTAATGTGGCGGGAGCAGTCCATCGTGTGTGTGTGTGTGTGTGTGTGTGTGTGTGTGTGTGTGTGTGTGTGTGTGTGTGTGTGTGTGTGTGTGTGTGTGTGTGTGTGTGTGTGTGTGTGTGTGTGTGTGTGTGTGTGTGTGTGTGCGCGTGTGTGTGTCGCGGTGCGCTGGGTTGTCCGTACACCAATCAAGCACTCAAAAGAGCTTTGAGGTCGAGCAGAGGTGACCCCCACGGCCTTATGCTGGCTCCAGTCAATCAACGACAGCCCACAACAAAAACAGCACAGTTCCGCACTTCCCTGCGCGCGCGCGTGTGTGTGTGT